TACCCCGGGTCCGCTCCGTCGCTAGCGGAAACATTGGCGCGGTTCCAAGAACCGTATGTTCCTCGTCACGCAATAGTACCGACTACAATCGGCTATCTACGCAAGTCATCGGGATGCCCATGGCCGTCCTATCGTTCGGACGTTGGCGCGATCATATCATCGCCACATTCACAATCATATCCCATATGGGTGACATCCGACCCGGATCAGATGGCCCATAGATGAGACGCAATCTCGCAATCATCGTGCATTCATTCACAAACGTCCGTTTCTACAATCAAGCGCTAAACGTTAATCCGAACCCTTCTGAATTAACGCTAGTGTCATGCCAGCTACCTCAATCACATGCATTTATATAGTTTATTTACTATACATGCATTTCCGTTTGCGTAGTCTTTTATATTTAATTGTATATTTTCTTTCAGTCTCTTCATTGATATATCGAGTTGTACCTCCGGTATGACTTAGCTGGTACCTGTCCGCCCGGATAACCAGTTCGGTTCATTCTGTGGTTTTTAACCTTACCTTTTATTCATTTTGGGTTCAGACTACGTGGGGTCCGGTCTGCCCCGAAATTCCGGTATAATTTATATTTTTTTACTTTTTCACAATTTGAGCCACGGTAATACTAGGTCCGTCTTGTTAAGTTTTTCAATTTTCCACGTGGTGAATTTTTAAGGTTCCGTTACTCTTTTTTTTTTTTCAGACCGATCGGTCCAGTGGTTCGGAACGGACGTTCCGTCTCGTCCAGATCGGACGGTCTGGCAAGTGCAGAACAGACGTTCCGAACTGTCAGAACGAACGGTCTGGACTCGTCTTCAACCTCTGGAATTCGCGTTTTTCTTCTGCGGATCTAGAACGGACGGTCTGACCTCAGACCGGACGTTCTGGTCCTCGGATCTCACCCAAAACACCCAAACATGCATTATTCACTATGGGTAATTCATCAAAACTCATATAATTTCATGGAAAACAGGAATCAAACATCAATTTTGCACAAAATCACTCAAGACCCAAAACCCCATGTTAATGAACTTCCGAATTAAACTCGAATTCACTCACCTCGGATTAAATTCGCGCGCTAGGTGATGGATGGAAAGCTTGGTGATGCTCTCCTTGCTCTATAGACACCGAATTGAGGCGTTAATCTCTCGGACTTAGGATGAAAAATTTCGGATTTTGCAGAGAGAGGTCATGGTAGAGAGGAGATGAAGAACTGGGGCGATTTTGTAGCGAAAAATTCGAATTTCAGACCGAAATAATTGAGTTTAAGACCCATAGGGTTGAAAAATCGGGTTTTTGGTCGGATTTAGTGCGCATGGGTCGTTTTCAGGTCGCCCCGGACGAAATCCGCGACTTTGATCGCTGCCGACAGTCTGGTCCGTCCATTCCGAGAGTCTGGAACGGACGTTCCGATCTGTGCGGTCCGTCCGTTCTGGACCCGGAACGAACGGTCCGATTTTTTTTTTGAAATATTGGGTTGTTACAATATCTTACTAATCATTTGATTAAAACATCATAAATTTAACGTTATGAACAATGGGATCAATATGTGACCACACTATATTTCGGTCACATTTTGATAACGCCCCTATCCGAAAACTGACGTATGGTCGTTCGAAATTATTAAAATAAGTTGCATCATCATATTATATTACGAGAATTAATGACGTTAATTAAGCTATATATATGTTTAATGAAAAGAATCTTAAATCGAAAACCAACTTTAATGAAAACAAATAACCTACGAGAACCTACAACCACAACAACCACAACAACAACATCGTTTCATTCCCAATTTTATAATCTAAAAATAATCTGAAATTGAACACTAATCATCTATATTTTGAGAATTCCGAAACCCATAATCCAATTTTATATATCAAACCCTCTCTTCTAGATGAGTTCATATGTGTGCTAATAGTACAATATGATGACATATATATAGCCTGGTGATTGATTCGGTGTCATTTCGAAGATTTGGTTTCCGACAAATATATTGTGTTGAATTTGAAAAATACCTAATTTTTTTTAAAAATTTTATATAAATATCTACATTTCTTAAAAACTTCCACATAAATCTAAAATTAGTTAATGATATCACCTATTTTTATTTGACAAATATCTGAAATTTATATTTATTTAGATAAAATTTCAAAAATTTAGGTATTTATATAGGATTTTGAAAAGTATTCATATCAAAGTTTTATAGTTCAGATATTTATGTAGGATTTTTATAAAAGTTTAGGTGTTGTATGTTATTTTTCTTTGTTTTTTAATTTACAACATATTTTTCGTTTTTTATTCAAAACGTTAATAATTATTAAAGTCTAAAAATATTTTTTGTAAACTCCAAAAATTGGCGGCTCCAATGCCCACTTGCCTAGGGCTCAGTTACATGTATTGAAAATAATTTTTTTTGTAATTTTAGTTAATTTTTTAATATATGAATTTATTCAAATTGCATCTCATAAATAATTTTTTATATTAGAAAATTAACAATCTATAATTTTTTCATTAGCGTCAGGTAATAAATTTTTTTTTATGTCAAATAAAATAACAACGAAAGGACGTTATACTTTTAGTTAATTTTTAATATATGAATTTACTAAAATATTTTTATGTTGTGTGCGTGAGGAGAGAGGAGCACGCTCTCCGCCAAAAGGACGTCACTCGAGTCTCGATCCATGGAGAGGCTCACTATTTCGATCGCTTTTTGAATAATAATATTCTTTTTTACTAATGTTGTTTATTTTTAAAAATATTTATATATTGTTTTTTATTCAAAACTTTAATAATTATTAAAATCTATTTTAAAAAACTCTAAAAACGGGAGACTCACGTACCAAGACTCCAACTGTGTCTAATTGTGTGTACGTTTGTCAAAAGAGGTAACTTGACTCAGCTCGATTCATGACGAGTCAATTCGTTTTGAATTTAAATTGTCAGGTTTGTTTTTAGCTAATAAAAAAAAAAATTGATTCATTTCCACTCACCAATTTTTCAAAGTAAATGAATAAATATAATATTTTTTTTATTTATATTATAAAAAATATCAAATAAAATGATATTTTAATATGAGATTTAAATATATAAAAGAAATTATACATGTATAGTCAATAACAAATAAAATTAAGTATTAATTTTTATAAAATATATATTTTAAAAAATATATATTTCAGTTCTCGAATGAGCTCGTGCCTTGTAGAATTGACTCACCAGGTTTGCAAACTCTGATGAGTTAGGTTCGTTATGTTCGTTTCCAAACGAGCTTTACAAACATTGGCTCTGCTCGTTACAAAACGAACCAAAAACAAACCAACTCGCAAATAAATTCGTTTTGACATCTTTAATTGCATCTCGTACTCGTAATTAGGATGCATAAATATATTATTTTTTATAATTTCTGTAAATTTCTAAAAATAATATTAAATTTATTTTGATAATATGTTAAGAACATTTTATTTAAGAGTAAGATGATAGAAATTTTTTATACGATTTTGTTTAATCACCCATATAATTATTTGATTAAGAAATGCTAAAAAATAAAATTTTAAATAAATGCATAATTTATTTAAATTTTATCATTAAACAGTCAAATCTTTTATATATATAAAAATAAGGAACATCTCATATAAATGCCTTAACTTTGTAAAACATGTCAAATAAATACTTTAATTTTTATTTTAATCTAGTTAATATATCAAATATTAAAATGTGTCTAAATATTGAAATATTCTAAATAAATATCTTTAACTCATTAAATCAATGGCAAATTTCAATCTTGATTTTTACAACGATGTATATAATTAGATGTTAATTCATAACATAAAAATTAAAATTCATAAAATCGATGACAATTTCCAACTCGACTTTGATGATATATAAATTAGATATTAATTTTAACATAACGAATGAAAATTATAAATTACTCTCGATTTCGTGAGTTGAGGTATATGTTTAATCATCCATATAATTAGTTGATTAAGTAATGCTAAAAAAGAAAACTTTAAATAAATACATAATTTATTTAAATTTTTATCATTAAATAGTCAAATCTTTTATATAATAAAAATAATGAACATCTCGTATAAAATGCCCTAACTTTGTAAACCATGTCAAATAAATACTTCAATTTTTATTTTAATCTAATTAATATATCAAATATTAAAATATGTCTAAATATTGAAATATTTGTAATAGACACCTTTAACTCATTAAATGAATGATAAGTTTCAATCTTGATTTTTACGAGGATGTATAAAATTAGATGTTAATTTATAACATAAAAATAAAATTCATGAAATGGATGACAATTTTCAACTCGACTTTGATGATATATAAATTAGATATTAATTTTAACATAAAAACGAATGGAAATTATAAATTACTCTCGTGAATTGAGGTATATATTTGAAATATTCTAATATTTGAGATATCAATTCAAAAATATTATAATATTTGATATATCAATTAGATAAAATTAAAATGTTAAGATTTGATACATTTTATAAAGTTGAAATATTTTTAAGAGATTTTTCTTAAAAAGAATACTTTTCTTCAAATTTTTACACTGGTGAGTGAATGTGTATATATATATATATAACCCGTATTTTGGCCTTAAATTTTCGGGTTGAATCAGTCCGATCCGATAGATATATAAAATTTAATTTTTAATTTCAATCCCTTAAATTTTTCAGACGGAGTCGGCTGGAACTTTTTTTTTTTACATCTAACCTTGGACCCGAATAATTTCGAAGTAGCGAGGCCCTTTACACCTAAACTGTATTTTGACCCCAAGTAATTTTCAATTTTTTACCCATAGTTTTTTTTTTTTTGATAATCAAATTTTATACACATGGTTTCGCAAAGCAGATTTATAAATTTGGAAAAGGGTTGTCTCATAACTAGGAAAATATGGTTGCAAGGTGAAATGAAGGGTAACGACTCACATAAATGTATATATATATATATATATATATATATATATATATAGCAAGTTAGAATCAAGGTCGTTTCTAGATATAAACGGAAAAAAACGCTACATTTGTTTAAAGAGCTCTTTCTTCACTTGAAAACCCCTGAAAATGAAGTTCGTTTTTATTACAAGGGATCAAGTTTCTGTCAACGGTTTGGGTTTAGAGGTGAAGATGATTCTTTCCTTTTGCATCCCTACCCTCTCCAAACCCAGATTCAGCCTGTTTGTGGTAAACCACGAGGGCTTCTTCCATGATTTTTGACACAGCGAACCTCCAAGCCCTCTCACGCATCCCGAGCTTCAGGTACACTTCGGAAGCTACTCGTGGATCGTACCCTGCTGCGGCGACCAAGATCATACCTATGCGGTCCGCTTCTTTGGCATCCAAACTGATTCAAGCAAAAAAAGAAAAAAGAAAAGAAAATCCTTTTAGGATCCGAGATTCACTTTATGGTTGAAAGCATCACAAGAAGCCGATGTTTCAGTGAATACCAATGACTTGCTCTCTTCTTGGTTTTCTACAAATCTAGCAAGAAAGTTTCACCTGACCAAAACTCATTCTGTATAGCAAAGAAGTACACCTTTCGATGTGGACAGCAACTCTTTTTCACAACCAAGGAGCCAACAACAGTTGTAGAAGAACAAGTCATAGAGACAAACACCAAAAGATTTCAGAAAGGATAGGAGAAGGAGACTTACTCCTTGAGAAAGGACAAGAGAGAGACGAGAAAGAACGGAATCATTTGAACAAGAGGCTTATACGTGTACAGACAGACCAGAAGGCAGATCCACCAGCAAATCCAGTAGGAAAGTTCCTGTTCTGAGTTCCGGGCAATGACACTACTGATCTATATTCAGAGAATGCAACACAGAAAACTTCATAAGTATGATCAAAGTATATGCCTTCACTATCACTAACAACATTTTGAAATCTTTAAATACCAATTATACCTCAGGTCCGATCACAGTGGCAATCTCTGCATCTGTCTCGAGATATTCAAGCAAACCGGTGTATACCACTATCTTCCCAGCAGATGAGCAAAATGCCCTACGGTCCGGGCCCTTAACCACAAGAACTTCCCAATTCGACCCCTCGAAGTGAGAAATCGAGGGTTGTGATCCTTCCTCTTTACCCTTCATCCCACTCGTTGTCCCTTTGCCACAGTTCTCATTCAGTCCTTTTGCCGTATCCTTGGCGGCTCCGTCATTTTCAGTTGGGGTACCATCCATGGACGCGTTCCGCACACTCTCCAGGCTCAAACTTCTCTGCGACCCTTCGATGATATCCTTCACGATCGAGTTAACCCTAATGCTCTCAGGGTGATCCGCGGGGAGTATTCGCCTCCCGTACGGCTCAAAGCTATATTTATCAACCCATCTCACGATCGATTTCGTCGGCCAAAGAACGAATTGCCTCCGTTTCGTGTAAGGAACAGGCTCTTGATTCCAATAACCAGTGACCAAAACCCCTGAACCCACAAGCACCGCCGCCAATACGGCGGGGGGGGGTTTCCCCGCCGCCAATACGGCGGCTGGGTTTTGGAACCACCGTCTCGGTTCCGGTGGATTGAAAGGATGAACCTGGTGACGATCAACACAGTCAAACTTCCTGGGAATGCTCAGAAACCGATTACAGACATTGATGTTCATATTCCCGAGAGTGTTACACAAGCGTAAACCTAATATGCGGGAAGATATGGAGAACCCAGAAAACTTAGGTGATAGATTCGAAGACCCATTCCGATGAATTTTCGAGAAAGCGTTGGAAGACGGAGATTCCGGCGAAATCATCGGAGGATTCTTGATGTTTCTCCTGGAGCTGGCGAGGAGGAGCTTAGTTCTTCGGTACCAAGACATGTCGCCGAGGATGGAGAAAGGTGAGCGAAATGCTGAAGAAGCGAAATTTCTAGAGAGAGAGAGAGAAATGGAGAGAGATTAAAGAAGAAGAAGAAATAACAAATGCATTTCACATACACAGAGAGGACAGGTGGAGCAACACGCAATATGCGAGGATAACCAACCTCTGCAACGATTTGGTTGCAGAGAGAAAAATTACATCTTTGCCCTCTTCTTCTTCACCATGTCAGCAGTCTCTTCCCTCTTTCTATTCTCCGCCGCCTTCGCCGGAGCCGCCGCCATCCTCCGCCGTCCCTCTCGATTTGCTTTGGCGCAGCTTTGTGCGTGAGGAGAGAGAAGCACGCTCTCCTATCAACGACGTCATTCGATCCAGAGGCGAGGCCCTTACTATCTGGAAATTTTTTTTAAAAATATTATTTATATTTATTTTTATGAAAATTAAAAATATATATATATTTTTAATTTACAACATATGTTTAATTTAATAAATTAAACAATACTACAGTACAAAAATTTAACCAAATTTAATCTATTTGTTTTCAGATTTATAGCATATTTTTATTTTTATTCAAAACTTTAATAATTATTAAAGTCTATTCTTTGAAAATGAAATTCTAAAAATTGGAGACTCGTGTGCCAAAGACTCCAACTACATCCAGTTACATTTGGTATTAAAAATTAGAATAAATAAGGAAAAATGACATTTTTCCACAAGAATTATTTAAAATATGACTTTTTCCTACATGAACTTTTAATTTGACAAAAATAAAATTATTTATAATTAATAAAACACATATACATATAACTACAATATATATATATATATATATCATTACTAATGCATATATATTACAATAAAAATAATTATAATTAAATTTATTATTAAAAATATTAATAATGCATAAAAATAATTATAATTAAATATATATTATGTATATATATTACTAAAAATAAAAAACAAATAATGCATTATTATTTTTAATAAATATTGTAGTTATGTGTATATGTGTTTTATTAATTATAAATAATTTTATTTTTAATATATATATTTATATATATATATATATGTGAATTTATATGTATATATTAATTTAAATACATGTAGATAAATATTTGGATATTTAATAATATTTTTGAATGATGAGTCATCAGTTTTTTTTGCTGAGTCAACAGTTTTTTGCTGAGTCAGCAGTTGCGTTTGTTTGATTTGGAAAAAATTTAAAAGTCTGGGTATTTATGTGGGAGTTTTGAAAAGTTCAGGTATTTATATGACAATTATATAGTTCGGGTATTTATTTGGAATTTTTATAAAAGTTTGGGTATTTTTATGTGATCACCCAAAAAAAACAAAAAATTTAAAAAAAATTGAAAAAAGATAAAAATAATATAAAAATAAAAAGCAGAAAAAATACACATATATATTCATATTTATATACAAATACAGATATAAACATATATACTCCTATTATATACTCCTATATATGTATATATACTTATATATTTTTTAGTATGTATATATTTGTTTGTATGATACTTAGCTTTTATTTAAAAATTTTAAAAATATATATATACTCCTATTTAAATATATATATATATATACTCCTACATATAAATGCATATGCTTATATATACTCCTATATATGTATATATACTTATATATTTTTTAGTATGTATATATTTGTTTGTATACAAATACACATATCTATATATACATATATATTCATATCTATATACAAATACAAATATATTTGTTTGTATGTATATGTATATATATATATTTGTATAGATGTTAGTATGTATATATGTGTATATGTTTTAATTTGTATATATATAGATATATTTTATATAGGAGTATATATATTTATATTTGTATTTGTATATAGATATGAATTTATATGTAGGAGTATATATATATATATATTTTAAATAGGAGTATATATATTTTTATATAGGAGTATATATATATTTTTAAAATTTTTTAGATTTTTTTCGGATTTTTTTAAAAATATGATGTGGCATGCTGACGTGGCAAATTTCCCATGTGTTGTGTCACGTCAGACGCCACGTGGCGTGCCACGTCATCGGTTAACGGATATTTAACGTCGTTTTTGGATTGTGTAGAAAACTGCAGTTAAATTGGATAGTTTGTGTAGCAATTTGGCACATTTGATAATTTATATATATATATATATATTTGTATATATATGTGAATTTATATGTATATATTAATTTAAATACATGTAGATGAATATTTGGATATTTAATAATATTTTTGAATGCTGAGTCAACAGTTTTTTGTTGAGTCAACAGTTTTTTTTTCTGAGTCAACAGTTTTTTGCTGAGTCAGCATTTGTGTTTGTTTGATTTGGAAAAAATTTAAAAGTTTGGATATTTATGTGGGAGTTTTGAAAAGTTCAGGTATTTATATGACAATTTTATAGTTCGGGTATTTATTTGGAATTTTTATAAAAGTTTGGGTATTTTTATGCGATTACCTCTCTTATTTTAAATCTGTTTTTTGCAATTTTTCGGATTTGTTTTGTATTTTCTAAAAAATCTGACGTAGTACGCTGACGTGGCAAAATTTTCCATATGTTGTGCCACGTCAAACGCCACGTGGCGTGCCACATCATCGGCTAACGGATATTTAACGCCGTTTTCGGATTGTGTAGGAAATTGCAGTTAAATTGGATAATCCGTGTATCAATTTGGCACATTTGATAATTTGGTGTAGTTTTTTGTCAAATTAAAAATTCGTGTAGGAAAAAGTCACATTTTAAACAATTCGCGTAGAAAAATGTCATTTTCTCAATAAATAAATCTGTTTTTTAGAAAATCCAGTAAAATTTTGAAAATAATATTAAGTTTTTTTGTTAAAGAAAATAATATTAAGTTTAATTTGACAATCTGTTAATGGTTTTATTTATACGATTTATTTGATCACCCATATAATTATTTGACCAGCAAAAAACAAAGAAAATTTCAAATATATATATGAGTTAATTTAATTTTTATCAATAAATATTTAAAATTCATATCATAAAAAATAAACTAATTTACAATTTTTTCTTCAAATTTTTTACATGCGCTCTACCAACATTAACTGATTATAGTTTTTCGACGATTGATGCTGAAATTGTTGTTGCTCATCGGTTTTTCCACATTAGCATCAGATTACGTTATTTTTTTTCATCAAATAAAATAATAAGTCAAATTAAAAAATAAAAAATAAAAATAAAAATAAAAATAAAAATAAAAATATACGAATACAAATTTCGAGACGGAGAGAAATTTACATCTTTGCCCTCTTCGTCTTCACCGTCTTCTGGTGAAAACGGCTGCTTATTTTCTTATTTATTATAAATTGAATTTTTTAAAACAGCCCACCACGCGCAGGAAAAGAATCTTTACGATGATTGCCATCAGATTCGGTTCTACAAACAAAATTTCAAACCTAAAATATTTCAGAAACTCAAAACATGATTTAACAAAATAATTAAAAATGACAAGGTTAAATCAACATTCTCTTCTCTCTTTAATCGTGTTTTATTTTTTTATTTAATAATTTGGCATATACACACACATTAGTACCCATATACGCATATGTAACCATGCTTATACAATATACGTTCATACATATACACACACACATTAGTACCCATATACATATACATATAGACAATCTTATACACATATATACCCATACACATATACATACATATATATACACATGTATAAATTAGAATCAATTGTAACATTAGGAGCTCTTTCTTCCCTTGAAAAACCCTGAAATGAAGTCTGATTTTATTACAAGAGAAGAGATCAAATTTTATGGATAGTTGGGTTCAGGACTGGACATGTTTTTTCCTTATACATCCCTACTCTCTCCAAATCGGGAAGATCAGATTGAAATTGTAAACCGCGAGGGCTTCTTTCATGGCGTTTGACCTTGCCAAATTCCAAATCCTCTCCTCGGAGTAGGGACGCCGGGTACTCGGGAGCCTCCCGAGCTTCTCGTAGACCCCGGGAGCTACCCGAGGATCGTACCCTGCTGCGGCGAGCAGGATCAGACCGATGTAGTCTGCTTCGCTGAAGTTCAATCTGGTTCAAGACATCAGCATCAACATCTCCAAATCCAAAAAAAAAAAAAACAGCCAACACTTGTAGAAGAAAACGTCAAAGAGAGCAACACCTACAGGATGTCTGAAAGGATTAGGAGAAGGAGACTTACTCTATGCGACCAATCAAGTACGAGAGAAGGAGAAGCGTTGTAGGTGCCCCAAGAAAAAAAAGCAGCTCTGTAAAGATCGAACCGAAAACCAGGAGGAGAGACCCAAGGCAAAGAAGGACGGAAATTTCTTCGGCTGTGTGCCGGGCAACGACACTACCGATCTATATTCAGAGAATGCAACACGGAAAACATCATAAGTACAATCAACGTACGTTCCTTCACAAACAACATTTCGAAATCTTCAAATACCAGTTATACCTCATGTCCGATCACAGTGGCAATCTCTGCATCTGTCTTGAGATGTTCCAGCAAACCAGTGTATACCACTATCTTCCCAGAAGAATAGCAATATGCTTTAGCGGCCGGGTTCTTAACCACGAGAACTTCCCAATTCAACCCCTCGACGTGAGAAATAGTTGATGAAAAATCACTCTTTTGAAAATAAAATATATCCAAAACATTAATGGATATTCATAGAAGAAAATGTTTTATAGGAAACTGAAGGAAATGTGGATTTACGCATGATTGCTGAAACCAAAAAAATGACATTGACATTTAGAGAGAGAGAATAAGTGACATAATTCGTGAGAGAGAGAGAGACAAAAAATTGAATGCTAAAGGTTAGTTTTTTATTCATTCCCTAATATGCTTTTTATACACGTTTGAAGCCAAACTTCTCAATCCGACAAATCTGCCCCACGTGTATGACTTTGCACGATTAATGTGTTTTCCCAAAGAATCGGTCATTCCTTGACCGAGTGCCCAATGCGAAAATTCAAAAACATAAATAAAACAATTTTATTTTTTCGATGACAAGATTATATCTCCAACAATAGTGGGTTGTGATCCTTTCTCTTTACCCTTCTTCCTGCTTTGCTGAATCCATATGTCGTCTTCAGACCCCTTCATTCCACCCATTGCCGTATCCTTAACTGCTCCATCATTTTCCATGGAGGTACCAACCATGGACGCATACCACACAGTCTCCAGGCTCAAACTTCTCTGCAACCCTTCAATGATATCCTTCACGATCGATTTAACCCTAATGCTCTCAGGGTGATCCGCAGGGAGTATTTTCCCCGCAGACATGGATTTTAGATCCTGATACCTAGATTCGTCAACCCATTTCTCGACCGATCTCGACCAAAGAACGAAATGCCTCCGTTTGATGTAAGGAACAGTCTCTTGATTCATACAATAAACGTTGACCAAAACCCCTGAACCCACAAACATCGCCGCCAATACGGCCGCAGGGTTTTGGAACCACTGTCTCTGTTCCGGTGGCTTGAAAGGATGAACCTGGTGACGATCAGCACAGTCAAACTTCTTGGGAATGCTCAGAAACCGGTTGCAGGCATTGATGTTCGTGTTCCCAAGAGAGTTACAAAAGCTTAAACCTGATCTGCGGGAAAAAATGGAGAACCCAGAAAACTTAGCTGATAGATTTGAAGACCCGTTCCGATGAACTGACGAGAAAGCGTTGGAAGGGGGAGAAACCGGCGAAATCCTCGGAGGAGTTATGATGTTTCTCCTGGAGATGACGAGGAAGGGCTTAGTTCTTCGGTACCAAGACATGTCGCCGACGATGGAGAAAGGTGAGCGAAATGTTCAAGAATGGAAATCTCTAGAGAGAGAGAGAGAGAGATCAAAGAAGAAGAAGTAACACTCATTTCACACACAGAGAGAGGGCAGGTGGAGCAACACGCAACATGTGAGGAAAACCAGCCTCTGCAACGATTTGGTTGCAGAAAGACAAATACATCTTTGCCCTCTTCTTCTTCACCATGCCAGCAGTCTCTCCCCTCTTTTAACTGTGTTTTTCGTTTTCAATTTCAATTTTTTCCTCGTTTTTTATTTATTTATTTCAGTTTAAATAATTGACCACTGATCTAGGATCCACATTTCAATTCTATTTTGATTGTTTATTCATTATAAATAGGGAAAATCGTCCAAAAAATCTTGTAATCGGAAGATGTCGACAAAAAAATAATATATATTTTTTAATACCAAAAAATACTTTTCTTATATTTAGCATGTGATAAATTTAATTTACAATCGGGTCATTTATAAAATTTGGTTAAAATGTGAAGGAATTATAATTTTTTAATCAAACTAATGGGGGCATATGTCCCCATTCATCTCCAACTGGGTCCGCCCATGCATGTATGTATTTATGTATATGTCGAAGTATGTATATATACATAAACATATGTACCCATACATTTATGTGTATATATATATATATATGTATAAGAATATGTATACAAGTTTTAGGTGAACGGTAGAATGTTCAATGGATTAGCAATAAATGAATTAAGTGTCAATATGAATTACATAACCTCGGTTCGAGTCAACAAACCAACAGCCGTCGGGGTCGGTCCACTTGCGTATTAGCTATGATGAATACATAATCATATACATACAAACTCTGGATAATAATTTTTTTAGGTGATAATCGTTGGTAAAAGGACGAATAATATCGTTAAAGAAATTCTGATGAAATAAATTAATAAGGAAGATAAGGAAATAGATGATGGGGAAATAATTAAATGCGACACATCACCTTAAAAAAATAATTTTAAAAAATAAACGTTCAAGTCTTATTCGGATGAATGTAAGAGAACAATCGATAAAAAAGAAACAAATACTTATTTTTTATATGTAAAAACAGGGAGAGAGAGAGCTTTTCAAAATGGTTTTATGCATTTCAAAACTCATACTACAATGTGTCAATTATAAAGAATAAATAATGTGTCAATTATAAATATTGTGTTTGCTTCAAATATAATAAATAATGTGTCAATTATAAAGAAAATGGTGTGTAAGAAGTTACTTGAGTCACAAGAAACCACGCGTGTGTTTGTGTTTGTGGGTTTTTATCGAAAAAATGTAACGAATTGATTGTAGGGAGAAATTTTACATCTCCGGCATGTATGTCTGTGTATATGTGTATAACCATGTATGGATACGCATATGTATATGGGTATATATGTGTATGAATATATGCGAGGATAGCTAACATGCAACGAATCTTCAAATGCAAACAAAAGTTTGCTTTATTACGAGAGATGAAGTTTTTGTGAGCAGTTTGGGGTCTGAACATGTTCTTTCCTTTTACATCCCTACCGCCCAAATCCAGATCGAACTTGCCTGCGGTAAATCGAGAGTGCTTCTTCCATGGCCTTTGACTGAACCAATCTCCGAGCACTCTTGAGCTTCCCGAGCTTCTCGTACACACCCGGAGCTACCCGTGGATCGTACCCTGCTTCGGCCAGCAGTATCAAACCAATGCGGTCTGTTTCTGCGGCGTTCTCTCTGCCTCTAGAAAGACAAAAAAAAAACAAACAAAAGAAAGTCCTGTCATGATCCGAAATTCAAGTTATGGTTGAAAACATCACAAGAAGTTGAAGTTTCTATGAATAGTAATACTATTGCGAATTAGACTTGTTCTCTTCTTAGTTTTCTACAAGTTCATCTAAAATCTAGCCGAAAGTTTCACCTAACCAAACTCATTTTGCTTGCAGTTTTATCCGACAACCCATCCAAAAAAACAGGAAGCCAAAAGAGATATGATAGAATCTAAATTCTATATAGCCAAATGGGCTCTCGCATGTCTGAATTCTTTTATCCTGCAAGCAAAGAACTACACTTTGATGTTGAAGGTAACACCTTTCACAACCAAGGAGCCGACAGTTGTAGAAGAATAAGTCATAGAGAGAAACACTATAAGATGTCTGAAAGGACAGGAGAAGGAGACTTACTCGCGGAGAAACGTCGCGTAAAAGAGGAGAAGGAACATCATTGTTTCTGCCACAAGCTGAAAGGGCTTAGGAAAGAACTGACAGGGAACCATCAGGGGGAGAAAAAGGCAAAAAAAAGTGGAATATTCCTCTGCTTTGTGTCGGGCAACGACACTACCGATCTATGGTCAGAGAATGCAATACAGAAAACATCATAAGTACAATCGAAGTATGTGCCTTCACTAACAGCATTCCGCAATCTTCAAATACCAATTATACCTTATTTCCGATCACAGTAACAATCTCTGCATCTGTCTTGAGACGTTCGAGCAAACCAGTGGCTACCACTATCGTCCCAGAAGACAAGCAAAATGCACCAGCGTACGATCCTTCAATCACCAGAACTTCCCAATTCAACCCCTCGAGGTGAGAAATCGTGGGTTGTGATCCTTCGTCTTTACCATTCTTCCTGCTTTGCTGAATCCATATGTCATCCTCAATCTCCTCTTGTTCAGACCACTTCATCCCACTCAGTGCCATTGTTGTATCCTTGACTGATCCATCATTCTCCGTGGACGCATACCGCACACTCTCCAGGCCCAAACTTCTCTGCATTCCTTCGATGATATCCTTCACGATCGATTTAACCCTAATGCTGTCAGGGTGATCCGCAGGGAGTTTTTTCCCCTCGTACACGGATTTCATCAGCTTCAACTCATATTCTGCAACCCATTTCTCGATCAATTTCGGCCAAAGAACGAAACGCCTTCGTTTCGTGTAAGGAACAGTCTCAAGATTGCAATACAGGGTGACCAAAACTCCTGAAACCACAAGCACCGCCGCCAATACGGCCGCAGGGTTTTGGGACCACCGTCTCAGGTCCGGTGGCTTGAAACGAGGAACCTGGTGACGATCAAACTTCTTGGGAATGCTCAGAAACCGTTTACAGATATTGATGTTCGTATTCCCGAGAGAGTTACGCAAGCTTAAACCTGATCTGGAGAAGCCAGAAAACTTAGCTGATGGGTTCGAAGACCTATTCCGATGAATTCTCGAGAAAGCGTTGGAAGACGGAGATTCCGGCGAAATCCTCGGAGGATTTATAATGTTTCTCCTGGAGCTGACGAGGAAGTGCTTAGTTCTTCGGTACCAAGACATGTGAGAGAGATTTCTACAGAGAGAGAAATGGTGAAGGATCAAAGAAGAAGAAGCAACGATTTGATTGCAGAGAGAAAATTCACATCCTTGCCTTCTTCTTCTTCACCGTCGTCTAGTGAAAGCGGGAATTGCCGAGCTTGGTTTCAAGAGAGCTTGTGGGGATTTTTTTTGGCTTTCAATCAGATTTTTTGAAACAAATGAGTTAGGGTTTCTAGTTCTACAATTTACCTTTTTTTTATTTAAATTTGGGGAAACTCCATAAAGAAAAAAAAATCCCCAATTTGATAAAATGTATCTCAATTCCAATTTTTTATATAAATGACTCATTTTGAAAATTTTTGCCAAATTAAAACCCGACCGATTACGATGTTTATCGACAGTTTAATTTTGCTGACGTGGTTGCATACGTGGAAATATTAGCCACGTGGACAGACACGCATAACCGATTTTACGTGATTCAATGTAATCCATACCAAATAAATTAAAATAAATCGGATTGCAAAAAACAAATCTCAAATTGAAAAACACCATGAAGCACTATAGTCCCTTCGCGATTTGATTCATCCATCGATTGAAGGTTTTTTTTACATTCCTAATTTTTTCTCCACGTGGGTATTCTTGATTTTAGATAAGGTACTTTGGTTTTAGGTTCTTCGTCTTTCTATTACACATCCTTCTATTATACACATGGCTCGTCGTAGATTTCATGTCCATCCCGACATACGGCGGTGGAGACCGCCGAAGGAAATTCGATTTTGATGGTGTTTGGGAATAAAGGACAAAGAGAGAACTAAGAATATAGGATGAGAAAGAATAAAAAACGGTGTATTCTGTCTTATTTATCTAACTTGATATAACTTTGTTTAAATAGAAATATAAGTGCAAATCATTTGCTTCAACAACCGCTACGCCGAATGTCGGAGTGGCCACCGCTGGACTCGCCGGAGAAAACTACTCTCCAGTTTCCGCCGGAGGCAGCTGGAAATTCTTTATTGCCGTCTTCTTCTTCTTCATCTTCATTTTCAACTCCCCAAATCAGGATGCCACTATCACAATTCATTCACTAACATTCAAAACAGAGTGTACAGATGTGGCATTGGAGAAAAATCTAATATCGCTTTTTTTATATATACGTGGCATTTAGTTTCTGACGTGTATACAGATGTGGCATTGGAGAAAAATCTAATATCGCTTTTTTTATATATACGTGGCATTTAGTTTCTGACGTGTATACAGATGTGGCATTGGAGAAAAATCTTGTGCATGACATGTCAACACTTTCGTATGCTACATGTGTTTCGAGAGTTTAGTATAACACGATCCCAATAGTACATTATTGTTTTGGAAATTTTAATTAATTTAGAGTTTTTTAATAAAAATTCAAAACTTTATTTTATTTTTTTGTTTTTCCCAGACTATATATATATGTTATGTTTGCTTCATATGTTCAAATAGGAAAAATCATAAAAAAAAGGGAATTTTTGACATCGATGCAAGAAATGGAACCTTAATTTGGGAGATGAATTTAGAAATTGGACCAGAATAATTTCACATTCGGGCTTCTCATTAGATGGATCCTGTGACACCCGTAATTTGTATCCCGTTAATAGATTGTGCCACGTGGACAAGTAAAATCAGAATTAGAAATTTTCGAAATATCAAATCACGGAAAATTTAAAACCATTTATTTTAAATATAATAGAGCGTAAGACATTACAAAATACATGAGTATGTTTACATACATAAACGAAGATATCAGTACATAATTCGAGTGGTGAAAGATATAATACAAAAGTTCGAACGTCACCATCCTTTTATTTTTGTAAATAAAATAAGTCCAAAGTAATTATACATGATCTGGAAGTCAGGTTGTCACCGGATCCCGTGTCTGCCTCAGTCATTGCTGTTACTCACGACCTGAAACGTTCCATAACAACGTCCTAAGTTACGTGTTTAGGGAGGAATTCGGGTGTAACCCGAGATTTCTATATTTATTGAAAACGGCCAAGCAATATATTTAATACTATATATATACATGCGACGAGATATATCAATCAGATCAATCATCTAGAATCATTCAACAATTTCACAAATGTGTCAATCATCTCTACGTGTATATCACACGTAGGTAAATATAACAACTCGTTCATGCCTGTGTCGAACACGAGGCGCAACAGTCCAAGCAAAATCCTTTGCGAGAACCTCAAGTGATCTTCATACTCCTCATCGGTCACCGATATCACGGCTCTCGGTACCGGTCATCCTCATACCCACTCCAGACATCGACCCCCGATGCCGCCGACTGCTGGATGAAACAGCTCTATGCTAACTCCCCCTCGCCGAACATCCACCTCGGAAAATACTCATCAGGCCCGAGCTCAAGTCTTTCAGAGTATATCCGTACCACTTCGCCGGGGGACACACACATCTACCCGGGTCTCAGATTTATTTGTCAATCTACGGGTGACACACGCAAACCCGAAGTCCGTTCCATGGCCAATGGAACGTTGGCGCGGTTACGAAAGAACCGTACTTCCTCGTCATGCATTCGGGTGACACACGCAAACCGGAATACGTAAGTCGCAGGATGCCATAACCGTTCGTCAGGGAACGATGACGCGATCGAAGATCGCCATAATCACAAACACGTCACTGCGGTATGATAATCGATCCGGATCAATTATCATACATCAAAGACTTCAGTAAATGCAATCATCATTTTATTATTTATAAGATTATCCATCCAGTATATTGCTATCGCCATGCAATTCTACCCGTTTTAATTTTATTACTCTAAATCCTATATATTTACCGGTTATACTATTTCTATTATTGTTATAAATTATTATTTATTATTATTATTATTTTTTTTCAATAATCCGTTGAATTTTATTTATTTATTTATTTATCTATTCATTATTGTAACTATTTTTTTATGATATTTCAAATTATCTTTTCAAATTTATAACCATAACAAAAAACGATTTTGTACATGACCACATTATAAATAATATACCAGAACATTATTCTATACTCCAATTAAATTTATAAATTTAATTCGAATCAATCATCAAATCTGCATACAACACTCAAACTCCGAAATCAAAAAAAATTAAATTCTCGAAGCCACATCCAAATTCATTCACCATGATTTTTGTTCAATGTTAGTTTCTTGATGTGATCTTCGTTGTAACTCCGAGATCAAATATTACCTAAATAACATGTTATATATAATATCATTTAAGCATATTCATACACTATCATAAAAAGACGTTCTCTACATCTGTTTTATAGGTTTCACTAGATTTTCTTTGAACCCAAAGAATAGTTTCTAGTTTCATTTTCTTTTATTGAAACGAGTTGTTGGTATCGTGTAAATAAATTCAAAATTAAAACTAGGTTTAAAGTGTTTGTTTTGAAATAGGTACTCATGGTTAAGAAACATACAAGTTTGGCTCAACCCATAACAAATTTGATTAACGTTTGAAGGTTGGGTTGGCTTTTTAAAAAAAAATAATTACATCTTCTCTAAATTAGCTTGAAATTTAATGAATATAATACATGCAAAAAAAAGGTTTTTGGAAATAGCTTGAAATTTAAAAGCCACTAGAGTTTACCTTAGTCAAGAGAGAGTAGTGATGAGAGATGATATTGGCTTTGGGCAAAGCTTATTTTTCTCCAGATGATGAATTCTTGGCGTAGAAGGAGTTGAGCAATTTGGTGTTTTCTTATTGTAATTATTGTATTATATATGTTTTATATATATATATTAACTTATATCTATAGGTTATGGGAGAAAGTTAGAATATTCAATTATTGGATCTATATATACATGTAACTAACGTTTCCATAATTGCATATATATGTATCTATATATATATATATATGAACGTGACTAATTCATTTTTTTTAATTATTATCTTGGTTTTTTATTCATAATATTTATTACATTTTTAAAATTATTTTAAAGTTTATTTGAAAATTTTAGATTATTGTCTTCGGTCTTTTATACTTCGATCAAAATATCTCGGCCTTTTATATATATATATATATATTTAGAATGGGTTATCACAGATCCGCCCATTTATTTTTTTCTTAGACTAAAACGTAATTTGTTTTTTCTTAGACTAAAACGTAGTTTGGTTTTAGTAATCTTCCAAATATTTTTAGGGAAAACAAATTTCTCATTTTTTTTTATAATCTCAAACTTGACGGACGATTCAATCCAACACAAATTTTTTTCGGATTAGAAAGAGATTTTGATTCTTTGTTTACCGGTTGAATCAACTAATGTTATGTCAAATTTCTTAAATTTGAAAAGGATGGACTTGGAAAATGTGGTTGTAAGAAGGTGAAATGAACGGAAACGAATCACACATACATACATACGTATATACATACATACATATATACATACATACATACATATATACATACATACATACATACATACATACATACATACATACATACATACATACATACATACATACATACATACATAGATATATATACACACACGAGATAAATCAAGTATGGTTGCAAGAGTAAACAGTTCTTTGTTCCCTTGAAAAACCCTGGAAATGAAGTTTGCTTTTATTACAAGAGATGAGGTTTTTGTGAACGGTTTGGGAATAGAACTGATCACGTTCTTTCCTTTTACATCCCGACCTCCATATCCATACGATCAGATTGAACTTGTCCGTCGTAAACAGAGAGTGCTTCTTCCATGGCAATAGACTTAGCCAACATCTGAGCCCTCTCAAGCCTCCCGAGCTTCTCGTACACTCCGGGAGCTACTCGTGGATCATACCCTGCTGCGGCCTGCAGTATCAAACCTATCCTCTCTGCTTCTTTGATGTTCTCTCTGATTCAATAAAAAAAAGAAAAAACAAATCCTGTTATGACCAGCGAATACAACACGGAAAACAACATCACAAGGTTCAGAAACGATATTACTGGAGAACGAGACTTACTTGATGAGAAAATACATGTAAGCGAGGATAAGGAACGACATTATTACCACCGCCACAGGAACAAAAGGATCAGCAACGTGGTAAAGCACCAGGGGGACCAAAAGACCAGAAAAGGTGAAATGTTCCTCTGCTGAGTGTCGGGCAACGACACCGCCGATCTATGATCAGAGAATGCAACACAGGAAAACATCACAAGTATGATCAAAATATGTGCCTTCGCTAACAACATTTTGAAATCTTCAAATACCAATCATACCCCAGGTCCGATCACAGTGGCAATCTCTGCGTCTGTCTCGAAATATTCGAGCAAACCAGTGTATACCACTATCTTCCCAGAAGAGCAGTATACCTTAGGGTACGGTCCTTTAACCACGAGAACCTCCCAATCCAACCCCTCGAGGTGAGATATCGAGGGCTGTGATCCTTTCTCTTTACCCTTCTTCCTGCTTTGCTGAATCCAGATGTCATCCACAATCTCTTCTTGTTCAGACCACTTCATCCCACTCAGTCCCATTGCTGTATCCTTGACTGCTCCGTCATTCTCCATGGACGCATACCGCACACTCTCCAGGCCCAAACTTATCTGCATCCCCTCGATGATATCCTTCACGATCGACTTAAGCCTAATGCTCTGAGGGTGATCCGCAGGGAGTATTTCCCGCCCGTACGCGAGATTTGTCAGTTGAAAGTTAAATTCAGCAACCCAATCCTCAATCGATTTCGAGCAAAGGACGAAATGCCTCCGTTCCGTGTAAGGAACAGTCTCTAGATTCTTACAATAAACGGTGACCAAGTAGTATAAAATTATAATATATATATATATATGGTGCAAGAAACGGATCCTTAATTCGGGAGATGAATTTTGAAATTGGACCAGATTTATTTCGCATTCGAGCTTCTTCTGAACAGATGGGCCCGCCCATTTCTTTTTCTTTTGGGCTAAAACGTAATTTCAAATTTTGTTCGAAAAACAGATTTCTTAAATTTGGAAAATGGTTGTCTTGTAACTTGGAAAACGAATCATACAATCATGCATACACACATACATACATACATACATACATACACACACATACATACATACATACATACATACATACATACATACATACATACATATGCACGCACGATAAATCAAGTATTGTTGCAATATTGTTTGCTTTCACTACAAGAGATAGAAGTTTTTGTGAGCAGTTTGGGGTTAGCACTGAACATGTTCTTTCCTTTTACACCCCTACACCCCCAAATCCAGATTGAGCTTGTCTCTGGTAAATCGAGAGTGCTTCTTCCATGGTCTTTGAATGAACCAACCTCTGAGCCCTCTTGACGGCGTTTGCCTCAAGGTTTATGGGCTTCGCGTAGGGCGATACCCGTGAAGAGTCATACTCAAGCCTCCCCAGCTTCTCGTACGCTCCAGGAGCTGCTCGTGGATCGTACCCTGCTATGGCCTGCAGGATCAAACCTATGTTGTCTGCTTCTTCGATGAGCTCCCTGATTTAGAAAAAGAAAAGAAAAACAAAAGAAAACCCTTTTACGATTGAAAGCATCACAAGAAATTGATGTTTCAATGAATAATAATACTATCCTATAAAGCTCCAAATGAAGATGATGGATAGTGAAAATACTGTTGTTTCTATTGGCAATGGCATGCTCTCTTCTTGGTTTTCTCGTCTAACTATACGCCTACGAGTTCATCTAAAAACATATCAAGAAAGTTTCACTTGACAGTTTTTTTATCTGACAACCCGTCGGAAAAAAAAGGACCCGAGAAGAGATCTGCTAACAATGTTTACAAAACCAAGTTTGATAGAATGTAAAAAGATGATGCACTATAAGATGTCTTGAAGGATGGGAGAAGGAGACTTACTCCATGAGAAGTATGGAGTAAACGGTGAGCTGGAGCGACATTAAGAACGCTAGTAAAGGACCTGTAAAGACCATACAGAGAACCAGAAAGGGGAACGTGAGGCAAAACTTAGAAGTTTCCTCTGCCATGTGTCGGGCAACCAGACTTCCGATCTATATTCAAAGGATGCAACACATAGAACATCATAAGTACAATCAAAGTACGTTCCTTAACAAACAACATTTCGAAATCTTCAAATACCAATTATACCTCATGCCCGATCACAGTGGCAATCTCTGCATCTGTCCTGAGATGTTCGAGCAGACCAGTGTATACCACTATCTTCCCAGAAGAATAGCAATATGCTGTTGCGGCTGGGCCCTTAACCACGAGAACTTCCCAATTCAACCCCTCCAGGTGAGAAATCATGGGTTGTGATCCTTTCTCTTTACTCTTCTTCCTGCTTTGCTGAATCCATATGTCATCTTCAGACCCCTTCATCCCACTCATTGTCCCTTTGCCAAAGTTCTCGCTCAGTCCCATCGCCGCATCCTTAACTGATCCGTCATTTTCCGTAGAGCTACCATCCATGGACGCATACCGCACACTCTCCAGGCTCAAACTTCTCTGCATCCCTTCGATGATATCCTTCACGATCGATTTAACCCTAATGCTCTCAGGACGATCCGCAGGGAGTATTTTCCACTTGCACCTGAACTTTAACATCTGAAAGCTAGTTTCACCAAACCATTTCTCAATCGATTTCGACCAAATAACGAAATGCCTCCGTTTCGTGTAAGGAACAGTTTCTAGATCGCAAACGGTGACCAAAACCCATGAACCCGCAAACACCACCGCCAATACGGCCACTGGGTTTTGGAACCACCCTCTCGGTTCTGGTGGCTTGAAAGGACCAACACGGTCAAGCTTCTTGGAAATGCTCAGAAACCGGTTAGAGGCGTTGATGTTCGTATTCCCAAGAGAGTTACACAAGCTTAAACCTGATCTGCGGCAAGAAATGGAGAACCCAGAAAACTTAGCTGATAGATTCGAAGACCCCTGCCGATGAATTATCGAGAAAGCGGTGGAAGACGGAGAAACCGGCGAAATCCTCGGAGTTATGGTGTTTCTCCTGGAGTTGACGAGGAAGAGCTTAGTTCTTCGGTACCAAGACATGTCGCCGACGATGGAGAAAGGTGAGCGAAATGTTCAAGAATGGAAATCTCTATAGAGAGAGAGAGAGATGGAGAGAGATCAAAGAAGAAAAATCAACACGCATTTCACACACAGAGAGAGGACAGGTGGAGCAACACGCAATATGTGAGGAAAACCAACCTCTGCAACGATTTGGTTGCAGATAGCAAAATTACATCTTTGCCCTCGCCGGAGCCGCCGCCATTCTCCGCCGTCTCTCTCGATTCGCTTTGGTGCAAAGGTTTAATACAACCAGCCTCTTTCCTCTTTTCACCGTGTTTTATTATTATTTTTTTTTTGGTAATTAAGCACATGCCAATTTTTCCTCTGTTTTATTTATTTATTTATTTATTTCAGTTTAAACAATTGTTTAAGATGTTGTGTGATAAATGATTAGGTGATGAAGGGAAACATGTAATGGTAAGTAAAATGTAGATTATGTATGTTATATACATGTATAAAATCTGTATGCAAGTTTTAGGTGAATGACAGAATGTTCAATTGATTAGGAATAAATGAATTAAGTGTAAATTTGAATTACATAACCTCGGTATGGGTCGAACCAAGAACAGTCCGTACATAACCTCGGTGCGAGTCGAACCAAGAACAGTCCGAGTCGGTCCACTTGCGTATTAGTTACGGGATATGTTCAAATATAACAAATAACAATTATTAGGGAAATGGTTTATATAAGGTCGATAAAAAGAAATAAATACTTATCTATATTGTGTTTACTTGATGTGTTCAAATAGAATAAATAATGTGTTAATTATAAGGGGAATGATTTAAGTATAAGAAGTTACTTCAGTCACAAGAAACCATATATGTGTTTGTGATTTAAGGATTGAGTGGTTCAATCGGTAAGAAAGGGAGCAAAGTTCATTTTCCAGATTTGAATCCTCATTTGTTGAGAGGTATTCACGTGGATTTCTCCGATATTTTGAAAGATATAGTCGGACCAAAGATCCGATGAACTTCTCGATGATAAAAAAAAAATATGTGTTTGTGTTCGTAGATTTTTTTTATTGAAAAAAAAAGTATAAATGCATGAAATTGGAAATATTCCAAAAGAGTCTGGATTATAAAAAAAAAAAAATACTACTCGTATGATTTACAAATAGGATTTTCTTGTGATTTAGATGACAAGGTTCGTGTGACTTGAATGGGATTAGGCTAAATCCTATAATTCGCCAACGTCCAACACATACAAATGTTCTTAAGATTCCGAATAGAATGAATCTCCCGATGATTTAGTACAGATTTATTCGAAAAGACATGAACTCGGGTTTGATTAGTAATTCCACGGCGAATGGTCGGTTGGAGAGGTATCAAGTGAATCGGGACATAGCCCGCAAGTACCGATGGCGTTTGAGAATAAACGTGTGGAGTGGATAAGGGTGAATATCTTAGATTCAAGGTTGTGTGATACCGAATAACCGAGATATACTAGGTTCTTGTACGGGATGTACTTGAATTGTGAATCCTGACCCGATAGTCAGATAAGGCGACGTTGATTATCGCGTGTGATATACTTGGATAGACGGTATGATCTTCGGGAGCGACTCACTTGGATTTATTCCACGTGTTTGGTACACCCGTTTATTTGTGTTATCACGTGTAGATTGCGAGATACGTATGAGTGATTCCGTGGGATGTAAACGTATAGAGATATTGGATATATTGACAATAAAATCCTATGACTACGTTGATTGTGATCCATGTTTAACTTGAATGATATTACTTGATGATTGCTATATATATACATATATGTGTGTTTATTTGATTTTAATCTTATATATTCAAATCTATTATACTATATTTACCTAGAACTGCGTTTACTTGATGATTGCTATATATATACATTTCAAGTATGTAGCAGCTGTACAACACAGCAGTGGTACTACACACGGGTCGGCAAACGATCATCAGCATGCATGTGTTTATTCGTCTTCGGGTTCGCTTCCGGTCCGGGTCGATGGTTAAAAACTTCAATTTTTTTTTGTGTCGGGCAACGACACTACCGATCTATATTCAGAGAATGCAACACAGAAAACATCATAAGTACAATCAAAGTACGTGCCTTCAGTAACAACGTTTCGAATTCTTCAAATACCAATTATACCTCACGTCCGATCACGGTGGCAATCTCTACATCTGTCTTGAGATGTTCCAGCAAACTAGTGTATACCACTAACTTCCCAGAAGACGAGCAATATGCATTAGCGTTCGGTCCTTCAACCACGAGAACTTCCCAATTTAACCCCTCGAGGTGAGAAATCGAGGGTTGTGATCCTTTCTCTTTACCCTTCTTCCTGCTTTGCTGAATCCATATATCATCCATAATCTCTTCTTCTTCAGACAACTTCAACCAACTCACTGTCCCTTTGCCACAGTTCTCACTCAGTCCCACTGCCGTATCCTTGAATACACTGTCGTTGTCCATACAGATACTATCCATGGACGCATACCGCACACACTCCAGGCTCAAACTTCTCTGCAACCCTTCAATGATATCCTTCACGACAAATTTTAACCCTAATGCTCTCAGGGTGATCCGCAGGGCGTATTTTCCGCTTGGACTCGGATTTTATCATCTCAAACCTAGATTCTCCAACCCATTTTTCGATCGATTTCGACCAAAGAACGAAATACCTCCGTTTCGTGTAAGGAACAGTCTCTAGATTCTTACAATACACGGTGACCAAAACCCCTGACCCCCCAAGCACCGCCGCCAATATGGCCGCTGGGTTTGGAACCACCGTCTCGGTTCCGGTGGCTTGAAAGGATGAACCTGGTGACGATCAAAGCAGCCAAACTTCTTGGGAATGCCCAGAAACCGGTTACAGGCATTGATGTTCGTATTTCCTAGAGAGTTACACAACCTTAAACCTAATCTGCGTGAAAATATCGAGAACCCAGAAAACTTAACTGATAGATTCGAAGACCCATTCCGATGAATTCTCGGGAAAGCATTGGAAGACGGAGATTCGGGGGAAATCCTCAGAGGATTTATGATGTTTCTCCTGGAGTTTGCGAGGAGGAGCTTAGTTCTTCGGTACCAAGACATGTCGCCGAAGATGGAATCCGAACGAGTAACTCAGACGGTGTTTTTCAGCATAAGGAGAAAGGTGAGCAAAATGTTGAAGAAGGCGAAGGAAGTGAGGCTGGATTCTTGCGCAACGAACATTGTTGGAGAGGAGAGAGAAGCACGCTCTCGGCCAAACGACGTCGGCGCAGTATGTAGGAGACGAGTGCCACGTCATACATACGGGAGCCTGTAACGGACGGCGAGGATTCTTCCCGTGGGGAATCGGGCGATCGATCAAGGCCCTACGACCTGTCATTGTCCACGTGGCGTTTATGGCTTGATCGATCGAACACGTGGATTTATGTTTAACCTTGATCTCTTGGACCAGCATTTTTTCTTAATGTTATTAATCTTCAAATTTATCCTCGATCGTATTTAAATCATTTCATTGTTCCTTTTTACTAAAACATAATACCAAAAAATAAACCCAAATGATTTAAATATAATCATCTATATATATATATATATACACCTATGTTCATCTTCTTATTATGGATTCTCCACTTTTCCATATCATATTTGTACACAGTTAAGTTTATCAAATATAATACATAATAAAAGAAAAATAAGATCCTATTATCAATTGCATTCACATACAAATTCAAACGTATAAAAGATAAATTGTAAATTCTAAAAATTAAAGATAACCAAATACAAAAGTTTTAACACATGTTTGAGATTAAAAAATAAAAAAAAATTCGATGACAAAATCCAATAGTATATATTTTGATTTAATAAAAATTAAAAATCAAATTCTCAAGATTTTGTATTAAACAAATTTTTTTTTATATTTTTTATAGTACTCTACCATATATGTGAGTTTTTGTATTTTTTTTTTATCTGGATTTTAAATGTACTTAGAAACTCATAATCAATATATATATATGTATATGGGTGAGTGAGTGTATATACATAAAACCTGTATTTTGGCCCGAAGTTTTCAAATCGATTCAGTCCGACCCAATAGATAAACGGAATTCACTTTTAAAAATCTAGTCCCCTAATTGTTTTTAGACGGACTACGAACTCGGATCACATAATAAGGCCCTTCACACCTAAATCTAGATATTAGATACAAAATTAGCGACGAAATTTTTTATTACAAAACGTTCTTACAACGTTACAAATTCATTTATAAATCGTTGAAAAATAAATCATTGCAAATTATTATAATTTCGTTGCTAATTGTATTTTATTTTCAATGGTCTCATTTGGACAAATATATTGTGATTAACTTGAAATATGAACATGTGTTGTTTGTTGATGTGTTGAATTTTGTGATGGAGATTGATTTGCCTGTTTTTACCGAAAATAGACATTGTTCCTGTGTGATTATAAAGTGTTTAAGACGTTGTGCAATAAATGGTTAGGTGATTAAAAGAAAATATGTAATGGTAAGTAAAATGTAAATTATGTATGTTATATATGTATAAAAAATATGAATATAAATTTTATGCAAAAAAGAATATAATTAGATAATTGAAATGAAAAAATAATATGTGCAAAATTTGGTTTTAAATTATATTCACCTCCTTATGATGAATTCTCTAATTTTTCGATGTCATATTTGTATACAGTTAAGTTTCTAAAATCCGAAATATAATAAAAGAAAAATTATATCATATTATCAGTTACATCCACGTATAAATTCAAACGAATAAAAGATAAATTGTAAAAACTAGAAATTAAAGATAACCAAAATACAAAAGTTTTAACAAACTCCAGATAATAAAGTTCAATAGTATATATATATTGATTTAAGAAAAATTTAAAATCGAATTCCCAAAGTTTTATGTGATAATAAAACTTGATCGCAGAGAGAGAATTTCGTGCAAATGATACGGCTGCTTATTTTCTTATTTATTATAAGTGAATTTTAAGAGATCTTTACTCTTTTACAAACAAAATTTCATACCAGATATTTCGGAAACATATTAATTAAAAATGACAAGGTTAAACATCTTTTAATCGAACCTTTTTTTTTTAATAATTTGGCATACACACACACATACATTCATTCATACACACTTGTGTATATATATATATAGACACGCATATATATGCATGCATATACAAATATACATTCATACATATATATACATGTGCACACACATTAGTACCCATATACATAGACATATATACAATCTAATACACGTATACATTCATACGTATATATACATATATATAGTTTATACCACATGTATAAATTAGAATCAATTGAAAGAAAAAAAACGAAATCTGCGTTGGGAGTTATGTCTTCCCTTGAAAACCCCTGAAATGAAGTCTGATTTTATTACAAGAGAAGAGATCAGATGTTGTGGATAGTTGGGGTTCAGGACTGGACGTGTTCTTCCCTGTTACATCCCTGCCCTCTCCAAATCGGGAAGATGAGATTGCACTTGTTTGTCGTAAACCGAGATGGCTTCTTCCATGGCCTTTGACTCGGCCAAATTCCGAATACTCTTCTGGAGCCTCCTGAGCTTCTCGTACACACCCGGAGCTACCCGTGGATCGTACCCTGCTGCGGCGAGCAGGATCAGACCTATGCGGTATGCCTCTGTGATGTTAAAACTGGTTCAAAACATCAACATCAACATCTCCAATTCCAATTCCAAAAACAAAAACACTTGTAGAAGAACAAGTCAAAGAGCACAACACTATAAGATCTCTGAAAGGATAAGAGTCTCACTCTCTGAGAAACGTCGTGTAACAGATGAAAAGAAGGGACATTATAGTTTCCACAGGCCGAGGAACGAACGCATAGAAAACAATCAGGGGAGTCAAAATGCAAACCAAGATGGAGGTTTCCTCTGCAATGTGTCGTCCAGCGACACTACCGATCTATATTCAGAGAATGCAACACAGAAAACATCATAAGTACAATCAACGTACGTTCCTTCACAAACAAGGTTTCGATATCTTCAACTACCAATTATACCTCACGTCCGATCACAGTCGCAATCTCTGCATCTGTCTCGAGATGTTCCAGCAAACCTGTGCATACAACTATTGTTGAAGATTTGCCTTAAAGAAGAAGAAGACTCTAGTTTATGCAGAAGGTCCCGGTTTAATTGGAACCGGTTAACCAAAGCAGATTGGAAATTGCTTAAGTGAACCAGACCAGAACGCAGCGTTTAAGTTCGCTACATCTGATCAACCTGAAAACGGCGTAGTTTTACGAAAAAGAGACGTTAGTGATCCGTACTTAAGAGAGGTACAGGTCGTCTTCCTTCTCAGTTCGATTTCTTCAAAGTTTTCTGGGTTTTCTTGGGTTTCTCCCGAAAAAAGGGGTTCGACGACTCTCGACGTTGTGAGAGTTCGTTCGTGTTTGTAATTCTCAATCACTATAGTGAATTGCCGAAGCTCTCTCGGCCGAGACGTAGGATTCACACTGAATCCGAACTCGTAAAATCTCGCCATTGTTGTTCTTGTTTTGTCTCTCAAATTCGTCCGGTGGTTTCTTGACTCATTTAGGGTTTAGGAACTAGAAGTGGTATCAGAGCCCGGTTGGAGACAGGGAGGTCTCTCGCCGGATTGAATCTTGACACAGCTCAAGAATTCAAAAGCTCAACCGAGATTTGGTTGGAGACAGGGAGGTCTCTCGCCGAAGAAGGATATCTTGACGCAGTATCAAGGATCCGAACCTCGGGAAATAAACACCAATGGCGACAGGACCTGTGGTGGTAAAGTTGGACGTAGAGAAATATGACGGGAAAACAGACTTTACCCTATGGAAGGATAAAGTGTTGGCGAGTCTTGAGATACTTCGACTTCATGAAGTGTTAGATGAGAAATATCTTCTAAAGGAATCTGTAAGTGCAGATGGTATCAAAGGGAAGGAATCCAAGATTGAAAAAGGCGAAGAAAGGGGCTCGGAAGAATCGAAGGAACAAGCTTCCCTGCAAGATTCAAAGTATGATAAAAGCAGAAAGGTCAGGAATCTAATCTTCCTCTGTTTGACAGATCAAATAATGAGGAAGGTTAAGAACGAGCAAACGGCCTCTGGGATATGGAAAGCACTCGAGAAAGAGTACTTAAACAAGTCACTACCCAGCAAAATGTATCTGAAGCAAAAGCTTTTTGGTTTCAAGATGGAAGAAGGGAAATCCGTGGAAGATAATCTTGATAATTTCAGGAAGATGGTGACTGATCTTGGGAACCTCCAGGTTGAGGTACCTGAGGAAGATCAGATCATGTATTTGCTCAACTCCTTACCCGAGAGGTATGAACAATTAAGGGATACACTGAAATATTCAAGAAAGGATGATCTATCAATGGATGAAATTACTTCGGCAATAATCACCAAGGAGTTGGAGATTAAATCCAAAGGCAAGACTCAAACAGGAGAAGGACTTATCGCGAAAGGGAAATCTGGTAAGAAGGACTCTAAAACACACAAAGGAAAGCCTACAAAGCCAAAAACGAAAGAGAAATCAGAAACTGGATGCTGGTTTTGCGGAAAAGAAGGTCACTTCAAACGCGACTGTCGAAACAAGAAGAAATGGATGGAAGAACAAACAAAGAAAACGGGTGACGCAGCTAATGTCACGGGAAAGGATTTCGAAACTGAGGTATTAGCTGTATCTGATCAGAATCCGGAAGATCAGTGGATAATGGATTCGGGGTGTACATTTCATATGTCACCACACAGAGATTGGTTTCTCAGGATAGAGGAACTAAAAGGAGGAAAGGTACTCATGGGAAACAATGGATCCTGTGAGGTGAGAGGTATAGGAGATGTTAAAATCAGATTAAATGACGGGAAAGTCAAGATTCTAAGTCAGGTAAGGTATGTACCTGATTTGAAAAGAAACCTGATATCTCTTGGATCTCTAGACAAACTAGGGATGAACTACAGATCTCAAAACGGTACTCTTGAAGTATTCAAGGAGTCTCAGAAGATTATGACAGGGAAGCTCGAAGGTGGACTCTATGTCCTACAAGGAGAAACTGTTGTAGCAGAATCACAAGTTACAACAAACTCAAATGATTCAGGGCTTTGGCACTTGAGACTTGGGCATATGAGCAACAAAGGTATGCAAATTATGTCACAAAGAGGTCTGTTAGGAAAGACTAAGCACACAGAAATAGATTTCTGCGAGAGTTGTGTGTTAGGAAAAACACACAGACTGGCTTTTCCGAAGGGTAAGCATGTGTCAGAGAACATATTGGATTATGTTCACTCAGACCTTTGGGGGTCACCAAATGTCTGTCCATCACTCGGCAAGGCACAATATCTGATATCGTTTATTGATGACCACTCAAGAAAGTTGTGGATTTACCTTATGAAAACAAAAGATGAGGCCTTCATCAGATTCTCAGAATGGAAGAAAATGGTTGAGACTCAAACAGGACACAAGGTGAAACACTTAAGGACAGACAATGGTCTGGAATATTGCAATCAGCAATTTGACCAGTATTGCAGAGAAAATGGCATCAAGCGACATAGGACTTGCACCTACACACCACAACAGAACGGAGTGGCCGAAAGGATGAACAGAACTTTGATGAACAAAGTAAGGAGCATGCTATCAGACTCAGGACTTGGACAGGAGTTTTGGGGAGAGGCAGCATCAACAGCTGCCCACCTAATAAATCTGTCACCATCAAGTGCAATAAACTTCAAGATACCAGATGAAGTCTGGTATGGCAGAGAACCATCTCTAAAGGAGTTGAAAAGATTTGGGTGTATCACTTACGTGCATACAAATCAGGGAAAGCTACAACCAAGAGCAAGAAAGGGTGTTTTCGTCGGTTATCCACAGGGTACAAAAGGATACAGAATTTGGCTACTAAATGAGAAAAAGATACATATCAGCAGAGATGTCAAGTTCAGGGAAGAGGTGACTTTCAAAGATACTGAGAAGTCATCAGGAAAGGAATCCGAAGACAGGGATGAATCAACAGAACACACGCGCTTTGGAATAACAAATATTCCTAATGGATCAGAAAACTCTAATCAAGAAGAAGAATCCTCAGTTCAAGGTGGAGCTGAGGAAGAACAGACTGAGGATTGGACTGAGCAGGAAGGGGAAAATGATGATCAGGAACGATACCTAGAACAGGAAAACATGGACAGAACATCAGAAGATCTCCAAGACTATCAATTAGTAAGAGACCGCGAAAGGAGACAGATAAGGCCACCTGCAAGGTTCAGGGAAGAGAATAGAGTTGCATTTGCGTTAGCTGCAGCAGACCACCTTGAGATGGATGAACCAAAAACATATGAGGAAGCACTACAGACCAAGGACCGAGTTAAATGGATTCAAGCTATGAAAGAGGAAATGCAGTCTTTATACAAGAACAAAACCTGGCTACTAGTCAACAAACCAACTGATCAGAAGATCATAGGATGTAAATGGGTATTCAAAAGAAAACCCGGCATCCCTGGAGTGGAAGAACCCCGTTTCAAAGCAAGGTTAGTGGCTAAAGGTTATGCTCAAATAGAAGGGATAGATTACAACGAAATCTACGCACCAGTAGTGAAACATGTATCAATCCGACTCCTCTTGTCATTGGTAGCATCAAGAAACTGGGAATTAGAGCAGTTAGATGTTAAAACAGCTTTTCTACATGGCGACCTTGAAGAAAAGATCTTCATGGAACAGCCTAAAGGTTTTGAAATCCAAGGAAAGACAACAAAAGTGTGTCTACTACAGAAGTCATTGTATGGTCTAAGACAGTCTCCAAGACAGTGGAACCTGAAATTCGACAGTTTTATGGTTCAGCAAGGGTTTACACGAAGCAAGCATGACTTATGTGTATACTTCAAGGAAATCAAAAGGAGGTCATACATATATCTTCTGATATATGTTGATGACATGTTAGTGGCAGCAGAAAGCAAGGAAGACATTCAGAAAGTGAAAGAATTACTGGGAACTAAGTTTGAAATGAAAGATTTAGGAGAAGCAAAGCGCATTCTTGGGATGGACATAGTAAGAGACAGGAAACAGGGTCTACTTACACTTTCACAGAAGAATTATCTGCAAAAAGTCTTGAACACGTTTGGCATGACAGACTCTAAGGTGGTGCAAACCCCTATGGGAGCTCATTTCAAACTAAGAAGCACACAGGAAAATGAAGAAGCTCTGGATCTCGACTCAAACCCATACCTCAATGCAGTCGGAAGTCTCATGTATGCCATGATAGGGTCGAGACCAGACCTTGCATACAGCGTGGGGTTAGTAAGTAGATTCATGAGTAAACCGAATAAGGAGCACTGGTCAGCAGTAAAGTGGGTTATGCGGTATATCAGAGGAACTTTGGACAGAAAACTGGTTTACAAGGGATCAGAAGGATTCGACATTACAGGATATTGCGATTCTGATTTTGCATCGGATCTGGATAGAAGAAGATCGATAACTGGGTACGTTTTTACAGTTGGGGAAAACATCGTCAGTTGGAGATCAACGTTACAGCATGTTGTTGCTCTGTCAACAACAGAAGCAGAGTACATGGCTTTGGCAGAAACATTCAAAGAGGCACTATGGTTAAAAGGACTGGTTGATGAACTCAGAATTGATAAAGGGCCAGTAAGGGTATTTTGTGACTCACAAAGTGCCATATGTCTTGCCAAGAATAGTGTACACCATGAACGCACAAAACACATTGATGTACGCTTGCACTTTCTGAGGGATATTGTAGCTGAAGACAAGGTACAGGTATTAAAGATAAAGTCTGAAGTAAATCCCGCTGATATCTTCACTAAGCCATTCCCTGTCAGCAAGTTTAACACAGCGTTAAGCTTGCTCAGAGTTGCTGAGTGATAACTTAGCAACAGAAACCGAGAGAGCATAAGGAAAGGCACGGTGGAGTTCTCCTTCTTCAGGCAAGGTGGAGTTTGTTGAAGATTTGCCTTAAAGAAGAAGAAGACTCTAGTTTATGCAGAAGGTCCCGGTTTAATTGGAACCGGTTAACCAAAGCAGATTGGAAATTGCTTAAGTGAACCAGACCAGAACGCAGCGTTTAAGTTCGCTACATCTGATCAACCTGAAAACGGCGTAGTTTTACGAAAAAGAGACGTTAGTGATCCGTACTTAAGAGAGGTACAGGTCGTCTTCCTTCTCAGTTCGATTTCTTCAAAGTTTTCTGGGTTTTCTTGGGTTTCTCCCGAAAAAAGGGGTTCGACGACTCTCGACGTTGTGAGAGTTCGTTCGTGTTTGTAATTCTCAATCACTATAGTGAATTGCCGAAGCTCTCTCGGCCGAGACGTAGGATTCACACTGAATCCGAACTCGTAAAATCTCGCCTGTGTTGTTCTTGTTTTGTCTCTCAAATTCGTCCGGTGGTTTCTTGACTCATTTAGGGTTTAGGAACTAGAACTATCTTCCCAAAAGAAAAGCCATATGCTTTAGCGGCCGAGCCCTTAACCACGATAACTTCCCAATTCAACCCCTCGAGGTGAGAAATCGCGGGTTGTGATCCTTTCTCTCTACCCACCTTCCTGCATTTCTGAATCCATATGTCATCTTCAGACCCCTTCATCCCACTCATTGTCCCTTCCACGCAGTTTTCGCTCAGTCCCATTGCCGCATCCTTAACTAATCCGTCGTTTTCCGTATAGATAACATGAGCTCTAAGCTCATGTTATCAGCCGCATGTAGATAAAGCGGATTCAAGTACGGATCAAGAGCAGAAACCGATTCCGAAGAGGAATCAGAAAGATTCTGAGCATCGGGAGTCTCAGAACGCGGCATCGCCGATAATCGAACAAATCAAGAAGAAAATCAAAGAGAAAGCGAGAACCGATCAAAGAAAAACTTCATTGGAGGCTCTGATACCATTTTGTGGAAAGACATTTGAGCTGAATCGAAAGAGAAAATACGCAAGCATTTGGGACAATTTTCTGTTATTCTTCAAAATGAAAACCTAATCAGTCTCTTATACAACGAAGGAGTGTAAACCTGAAATAGAGTAAACCGAAAATAGAGTAAACCGAAATTAAAAAATACCAAACCGATAAAACTCTCTCTAATACATACCGCACACTCTCCAGGCTCAAACTTCTCTGCATCCCTTGGATGATATTCTTCACGATCGATTTAACCCTAATGCTCTCAGGATGATCCGCAGGGAGTATTTTCCCCTCGTACCCAGATGTTAGAGACTGAAAGCTAGATTCATCAAGCCATTTCTCGATCGATTTCGGCCAAAGAACGAAATGCCTCCGTTTCGTGTAAGGAACAGTCTCTAGATTCATACAATACACGGTGACCAAAACCCCTGAACACACAAGCACCGCCATCAACACGGCCGCAGGCCTTCGGAACCACCGTCTCTGTTCCGGTGGCTTGAAAGGATGAACCTGGCGACTATCAAAGCTGACAAACTTCCTGGGAATGCTCAGAAACCGGTTGCAGGCATTGATGTTCGTGTTCCCGATAGAGTTACACAAGCTTAAACCTGATTTGCGGGAAAAAATGGAGAACCCAGAAAACTTAGCTGATAGATTTGAAGACCCATTCCGATGAACAGTCGAGAAAGCGTTGGAAGGGGGAGAAACCGGCGAAATCCTCGGAGAAGTTATGATGTTTCTCCTGGAGGTGACGAGGAAGGGCTTAGTTCTTCGGTACCAAGACATGTCGGTGACGATGGAGAAAGGTGAGCGAAATGTTCAAGAATGGAAATCGAGAGAGAGGGAGAGAGAGAGGGAGAGAGATCAAAGAAGAAGAAGTAACACGCATTTCACACACAGAGAGAGGCCAGGTGGAGCAACACGCAACATGTGAGAGAGGAGAGGTGGATCAACACGCAATATGTGAGGATAACCAACCTCTGCAACGATTTGGTTGCAGAGAGACAAATTACATCTTTGCCCTCTTCTCCTTCGCCATGCCAGCAGTCTCTTCCCTCTTTTTTAATCGTGTTTGTCTTTCTAAATTTCAATTTTTTCCTCTGTTTTATTTATTTATTTATTTCGGTTCAAATAAGTGACCCACTGAACTAGGATCCACGTTTCAATCTTCCATTTTGATTGTTTATTCATATTATCAATAAGAGGAACTTGATAGAGATATACGTATATGTATGTATGTACGTAGGTGAGGATTGACACAGCAACTAATGACGTCGTTAATTAAGCTATGTACATGTATACATTATAAAATTACAGTGCATTCACACGGGATGACACATGTCCCATTTACTTCATTAATGTCATTCTCAATTTTTGACTATTAAATTTTAAATTAATATTAGATATTACTCCTAAACTTTGATACGGTTTCAAATTTCAACCACTATAAATTGTTTTATTTTTTATTTTATTCTGATGTTATACCAAATATTTGTTTGAAATGCATATTTATATTTTTTTATACGTTTTCAAATTTCAACTATTACGGTTAGCGCACGATCAAAAGGCATATTAATGAACAGACAGGAAACCAATAGGAGGGTCCCCAAGCAAAACAGCTTCGAAGTTTCCTCTGCATTGTGTCGAGCAACGACACTACCGATCTATATTCAAAGGATGCAACACAGAAAACATCATAAGTACAATCAAAGTGTGTGCCTTCAGTAAGAACGTTTCAAATTCTTCAAATACCAATTATACCTCACGTCCGATCACGGTGGCAATCTCTGCATCTGTCTTGAGATGTTCCAGCAAACCAGTGTATACCACTATCTTCCCAGAAGACTAAATTTCAATTTTTTCCTCTGTTTTATTTATTTATTTATTTCGGTTCAAATAAGTGACCCACTGAACTAGGATCCACGTTTCAATCTTCCATTTTGATTGTTTATTCATATTATCAATAAGAGGAACTTGATAGAGATATATGTATAAGTATGTATGTACGTAGGTGAGGATTGACACAGCAACTAATGACGTCGTTAATTAAGCTATGTACATGTATACATTATAAAATTACAGTGCATTCACACGGGATGACACATGTCCCATTTACTTCATTAATGTCATTCTCAATTTTTGACTATTAAATTTTAAATTGATATTAGATATTACTCCTAAACTTTTATACGGTTTCAAATTTCAACCACTATAAATTGTTTTATTTTTTATTTTATTCTGATGTTATACCAAATATTTGTTTGAAATGCATATTTATATTTTTTTATACGTTTTCAAATTTCAACTATTATAAATTGTTTCATTTTTTTATTATGATGTTATACCAAATTTTTGCTTGAAATAAATACTTATTTTGAAAAATACGAATTTGTTGTAAAAACCATCTCTATTGGAGAGAAAAATTGTAACAACCCATAGAAAAATTGTAACAACCCAAAATTTAAAAAAAAAAAAAAACCCGGACCGTCCGCTCCAGGTATCACAGACTGGACGGACTACTACCACACTGGAACGGACGGACCGACAGTTCCGGAACGGACGGACCAGACTGTCGGCAGCGACAAAAGTCACGATTTTCGTCCGGATTCGACCTGAAAGCGACCCGAATGCACTAATCCGACCAGAAAACCCGACTTTTTTACCCTAAGCACGATTTGGCCCACCCTGGGTTCGGATTTCTGTTGAAAATCCGCCTAATCCCAGCCATAAGTAACCCCTCTTCCTCCTCACATGGTCTTCACCTTCAAACTCGGAATTCTCTCTCGAATTCAAATCATTTACCTTGAATCTAGTTTCTACAGAGCAAGGAAAGCATCATCGAGCTTCCTAGCCATCACCCAGAACACGAGATTAACCCGAGGTGAGTGAAATCGAGTTTAATTCGGAAGTCTGTTGACATGGAGTTTCGGGTTTTTGGGTGTTTCGTGTCAAATTGATGTCTGATTCGTGTTCTCCATAAAATTATATGAGTTTTGATGAATTATCCATAGTGAATTGGGCATATTTGAGTGTTTCCGATGAGATCCGAGGACTAGAACGTTCGGTCTGAGGTCACACCGTCCGTTCTAGGTCTGCAGGAGAAAACGCGAAGTCCAGAGGTTGAAGACGAAGTCAAGACCGTCCGTTCTGAACAGTCCGGAACGTCCGTTCCGCACCATCCAGACCGTCCGGTCTGGATAAGGCGGAACGTCCGTTCCGAACTGACTGGACCGATCGGTCTAGGGACTAGACCGATCGGTCTGAAAAAAAATAACAGAACCTTAAAAATTCATCATGTGAGAAATTGAAAAACTAGACTAGATGGACCTAGTATTACCCCGACTCAATATAGTGAAAAGGTGAAAAATGAAAAACATACCGAAAATACAGGTCAGACCGGGCCCTACATAGTCTCGATCCAAAATAAATAAAAGGTAAGGTTAAAAACCACAGAATGAACCGAACTAGTTATCCGGACGGACCGGGACCAGAAAGGATATACCGGAGGTACAATTCGATAATGTAAATGAAAAGACTCAAACAAAATAAATAAATAAATATAAAAGACTACGCAAGCGGAAATGTATGTATAGTAAAATAACTATATAAACGTGTGTGACTGGGATAGTTGGCATGGCGTTAAACGTTGATTCGAAAAGGGTTCGGATTAACGTTTAGTGTGTGATTGTAGAAACGGACATTTATGAATGATTGCACGATGTTTGCGAGATTGCTTCCCATCCATGGGCCATCCGATCCGGGTCGGATGTCACCCATATGGGATGTGATTGTGATTGTGGCGATAACATAATCGCGCCAACGTCCGAATGATAGGACGGTTATGGGCACCCCGATGACTTGTAGATAGCCGATTGTAGTCGGTACTATTGCGTGACAAGGAACATACGGTTTTTAGAACTGTGCCACGTTTTCGTTAGCGACGGAGCGGATTCCTGAATATGAGTATCCCGAGGATGAGGCATTACACATATCTGAGATTCGGGTAGATTGGGGTCTCCCGAGAAGGTGGTACGGACTTACTCTGGCAGGTTCGGACACGAACCTGAAAAGTATTTCCGCGGCGGATGGTCGGCGAGGGGGAGTGCATCGATTGGCTCTCCCGTTATAGTCGATGGCGTCGATTGTAGCCGAGTCTAGTGAGCTCCGGTATTGAGAGGTGACATCAATGCCGGAGTTGGGTGACAAGCCTAGTATCGGGAGGTGACATTGATGCTAAGGTGGTGTGATGTGTTCGGGCGGAGAAAATAAAAAGATACTTATGCCAGATTCTGAGTGGCTGTGGAGTAGATGGATTCCGAGGAGAAAGGTGGTTGTGCTATGCACATGGGGAGTACATCACCTACGCATGGTGTGCGTAAAGACGATTTGACGGACTCTGTCTTGCGACTTGTCGTACGGACTTGATTGTGATTGCTGCATGTTTATCGTGATTTCCTGTTGTCAATTCCTGCTTATTAGAGTACTAGTATATATATACATATATATATATATATATGTTTTCCCTAGTCTCATGAGAATGGAACTCCGGGTTACGCCCGAGTTCACTCTCTAAGCAATTAGCTTAGGACGTTGTTACGCAACGTTTCAGGTCGTGAGCAGCAGTAGCCGGGGAGCGGACATCGGAGACATGGGCAGTGTACCACTACCGATCATGTATAATTACGTATTTTGATACATTTATATTTTGGAAAACAGTTTGTGTTATATCGGTGGTAGACTTTTTAAGGTTTGTAATAAGGTTATACTACCACTTGATTATGTATAATTATAATTGGAAATAATGTATCATATATGTACGTACGAGTGTTTTCTTCCGCTAACTCTTAAAAGAAAAGTTTTAAATTCCCGCGGATTTTTAGAAATTGAGTTTTTATTTTACTTGTCCATGTGACGTAACTCATATGGCGAGATACGGGTTTCGGGTGTTACAAAAATACCAAAGTGTAACTGTTATGAAAAATAGACCAATTGGTGTGAACTATTTGTAAAATTAATAGATTAAAAGAATAATTAAAAAATCGGATCTTTAGTCTAAAAAATATAATCAATCAGTGTCGTAAAAAATCTATTAAACAGAAGAAAACTGCATGAACATAAATTTTAGAGACTATGCCTACACAATTCAAAGTTTACTATTTTTTTTTTTTTTTGCATACATAGATTGATACATAGCGTCATATTAATTTCATTGTATTTAATTTCTTTAATTACACTAGTTTCTGTTATTTTATTCCTCATATTCAATGTGTATTTATTTTAATATCATTTCATGTTTACTGTATGAATCTTCGGTATTTTTTTTAATATATAATTTGATTGTATTAAAAAAAAAGTGGGGAGACATAGTCCAGGATTCGAATCCACGTTACAAGCAAACCAAGCTATTGCTAAAAGACCAATAGCATGGAAAGAACTTACACCGAAAAGCATTTTCTACTCTTGTCTACGTCTCTCCATTATGGAAAATCGTCAGTGAATACCATTTCTGCATAAGTATGTTGTTTGCAGAATCTTCGGTATTCTCAAAAAGATTGGACCAAACTCTTATAAAACTTGATATGATCTCTCTTTTCGAATCTAAAAACAACGATGGCTTATTGTAGTGGTCGAACAAGAAGGAAGCCAGTTGGCGATCTTATAGAAAACAGATTCAGGTAAGTCTCAGATATAATATCTAATCATCTCATTAGAAATACATGGCCGAGTATATGGTTGGATTTCATTCTATAGTTTGTATTTGATGCTTACTAATCAGCTGTACAAAA